GTCCCTTAAGGAAAATTTATTTTATCATATTGGCAGAGATGAAATGATATTCTGGTAAGTCACCAGTCAAAGATGCCGTGGATGGTCTTCGCCAGAAACTCATCCCGGAGGGTTTGCCCAAGTACGTCCCAGGAGTAGTGGAGTACTTCCTATCGTCGACATATTTTACCTGGATGGGAGAGTTCTACGAGCAATGCGAATTTTTGTATTTAATAAGTATTTAATAATATTTATTGATCACAATGTACTACACTTCAGAATAAACAACTAAAAATGGTTTCCAATAAACAACTGATCAATTTTATGGTGAGGTTCAATATATATTGTTCTTCCACCTCACCATAAAGTATATAAAGAGAAAAAAAACAGTATAGCGTGTTAAATATAAAAAAAAAAGAATCGCGACAACGGTATAAAGCTATAAACAAAACAAGAGTTTTAACTACTAAGTTTTAACATATAATACTTAGGTGAATACTACCAAAGGCCACAACAAGTCGTTATCGATACCATGTCAGTACTCGAAAGGGTTCCCCAGAAATTAAGAACAAATTTAGGTAGAACAAAAAGATTACAAAAACATTCAAACGCAAAAGCAAGATCTGTGACTATTAAGATTTTACAGGTATTGCGAACACTGCTGCCCAAGCAGAAAATCAGCATAGCGCCTCCTGGCGGTGGCGGCAGACCCACACTCTGTCAATGCGCAACCAGAAGGGAGCTCATTAATTACTTTGCATATCTGGTATGAGAAGCATTTTTTAAAACTCATAGTGTGGAATATTGGTGGAGATAGCCTTCCCTTAAACCTCACATTAACCGAGTGCACTTCACCCCGAAAAGACAACTTTAGTAGTAATTTATGGTAAAAACCTACAGCATGCAACATTCTTCTCCCCGCATGTTCAACCACTTTAAAACCGGCAGTTTACAGCTGACATGATCTCTGCGTTTCAACCCAAAAATTAGTCTGATACAGGTGTTTTGTACCTTTTGAATTTTCCTCTTCAATGCATAGGACAGAAAGGGTGCATACAATGCATCGCCATAATTAAACATTGATAGTACTAAACTTTCGCATAGGCGCACCTTTGCACTATGATTAACAAAGGCTCTGTTAGTATAAATAATTCTAAGGCTACTGTAAGCTCTTTGAACGCATTTATTAACGTGTTCATTAAAAGTAAGGCCCTCATCGATTAAAATGCCTAAGTTTTTTACTATTTTTTTAATAGGTAGTAATTCGTTATTTACACTAATTTGTAAGTCATTAATGACTTTTTGTTTTTGTTTCTGAGGACCAAACATAATAACGTTTGATTTTTTCTGATTAATTTTAAGTCCATGTCGGCTTGAGGTGATACGCAAATATTCTAGATCACTATTAATTCGCACACAAGCCTGTTTTATATCATGAGCCGGAAAAGAATAGTATATTTGCGTGTCGTCGGCGTAAAAATGGGTCTTGCAATGCATAAGCCCTTGGTTAAAGTTTGATGTATATAAAACATAAAGCAAAGGCGAGAGTATAGAACCCTGACGAACGCCCGAACTAGTGTATTGATATTCAGATTGTTCATCACCCATAAATACGGCTTGTTGTCTATGTGTTAGAAAATCATATAATAAGCGGGTAGACTTATCATCAAAACCGGAATACCTCAAAATTGATGATATTGTCTCATGATTGACCGTATCGAACGCCTTTGAATAATCTAGTAGGCAAAGAACTGTTAAATTACCCCTATCGGTTTCGCGAATTATATCATCAATGATATGTATCAATGCTGTCGTGCAACTGTAACCCCGTCTGAAACCCGATTGGTTCTGTGGTAGTATGTCATTCTCCTCCACAAAGGAGACCATTTGTTCATAAAAAACTTTTTCTGCAACCTTTGCTAATACTGGCAGAATACTAATGGGTCTCAGGTCGCTAAGTACCGTAGGTTTAGAGATTTTGGAAAGCGATTTTATTACGGCTTTCTTCCATGTCATTGGAAAAACACATGTTTCAATGCACGCATTTATAGTATCGCGAATATAAGGTAATATATGTGGACAGCACAATTTTAAGCATTTAATATTGAGACGATCATGACCAAGCGCATTGCTCTTAATTGAATTAATTAATCCATATCCTCCACCACGCGAAAGCCAAAAGACAAGTTATTCCGTTTGTTGGAATTATAAAAGTTGACCAGTTCTAAGTCAGGAACACCTCCCCCGATACCGCTGCAATAAAGTAATTATTGATATCATTGGGTGACCCAAGATGAGGTAGAACTGACATGTTCTTTCTTTTAAATATTCCCGTATTTCGCAGTGCTTTCCAACAATCATTTGTGATGTTCAATTGCGACTCAAAATATGCCCTGCGCTCATGAACAATCGATGTATTAACTAAATTACGCGCCGATTTGTAATATTCCCATTTCGCTTCTGATTTGTTATTACGGTAGTGATTGTACGCCTTGTCGCGCAGTTTTTGCATATGCTTTATTGTATCTGTGATCCAAGGGCACGGGGTACGTGACTTCTTGATTAATTTAAGGGGAACATGTACGTCAAGAACGGCCAAAACGAGCTGAGTTAAAAAGTCGGCTTTGATGTTTGCGTTGTCTAAATCGAAAATATGGAAGAATGGCATTCGATACAAGTCCATCAAAAATGAATCATAATCCAGATNATGGTTAGAAAATGTTCTTTTCGAATCTGCAGCAAGAAGCGACCAGGAATGTGATGCCGTTGAAATGGGATCGATTAGAAACCCCGAACAGCCCGACATTTGCTTATCTTTGAAGAAAATTAATTTTTCCGGAATATAGGAAATGGTTAGGAAAATTTTCTTTTCGAATCTGAAGCAAGAGGCCACCAGGAATACGATGCCGTTGAAATTAAATCGATTAAGAACCCCGGACGAGCCGAATTTTGCGAAAGTTTGAAGAAAATCGATTTTCCCGGAAAATAAGAAATGGTTAGGTAAATTTTCTTTTCGAATCGGAAACAAGAGGCAACCATGAATACGATGCCGTTGAAATTAGATCGATTGAATACCCCGATCACGCATTTTTTTCAGTTTAAAATCTATGGTTGAAATCTGTGGCCAACTTCACACGCGTTCATTTCGAATCATTTTATTTATTCATTTTACACATTAATTAGTAGTGATAATTATTATGGTTTATCACCGACAAGTGTTGCAGAAAAGGTTAATTTAATAGCTGGCACAAAAACAAGTATTATGCCTATGAATGTTGGAAGAAAATTCGTTGCTTTATGCGTTTTAGACAATTTTATATATGCGGTATGTCCTACCAAATAAAATAACGCACTTTATCGTTACCAATAGATTTTAGTTAACTTAAATGATCAATTTTTTACTTTTATATACAGATTGGTGGAACGAACAACAACAAACACTTGGAACAAAGACCTAATTAAATCAAGTATCTCCTTAACTAAAACAATTTATGAGGCTACATTAATAGTTGCTTCGCAAATTATGAAAGGAAGTGGCAACGGAATATAATAGGAATATATTGTAGATTTTACATTAGGAACAAAACCTTTTGTATTTTAAGTTGACTGCGAATTTTTATCGACAAAACGCAAAATTGTAAAAACTTTTAATTTTCAATATTTTCTTTTTAATACATTTTTTTTAAGTATAACGTTAAAATATTAACGATTTTGAATTAGGTTGACTGCGAATTTTTATTGACAAAACGAAAAATCGTAAACATTTGTAATTTTCAATAAAGTAAAGATTAAGTGTTACTGTTCATCCTCAAAAAAAATCATGTCTTCATTTTCAATACCTTATGATGTTCCTTCCCGTTTTGATTTGGGAAGGCATGTCTTTGCTCTTAATGAACTTGATTAAAAAAAAAGTTAACGGAAAGCTTGGACGCCACTTTATGTTTAGAGAGGTAAGGAACTTTCGCTTCCTAAAAAATAAAGGGTAAAAAGGGACACAGAAATTAATAAATTAAAAAAAGGTATTGAAAGAAACAATTTTAAGAAAAGCTTCACTGATATATTTTCTTTTTTTATTAATAAAATTTAATCTCAAAAGAAAACTGATTATAAATCAAAATATATTCGGTAATTATCTAATGATCGGTATTAATGACGACGGTTAAGTAAAGACTATATTAATGATCATCTGGAAATATCGGATTATTTCGGTAAAGGATTTACTGCCTTTAAAACGAAATATTCTCTGAAGAAAACTATCGGACATAATTCTCGGAAACTTTTGGAAAACTCAATTATACAGAAGACTCTCGCAAGAAAGTTGAGACTAAAACTGAGGCTTGACAACAATTTTCGCCTGCTATTTATATCTTTTTGGGACGACTTGTTTTCTTAGGGTGGAAGACGGCTGCGCTAATTATAAACAATAAATTACACAGATCTGCAAAAATAGGGCTGTTTGCAGTGCAAAATCTTGCAGATCTGTGATATCAAAAATTAATGGAAAAATTATTTATACAATGCAAACATTTCATTTAAGTGTGCAATAAAACAGAAAAATATAGAAAGCAAATTCGGCTTCTGATTGTTACATTTAAACACGGAAAACCTCTTCAGCAGGTCGGCAGTATCCTAGACCATCCTGGCCAGTGGTATATTTGGTGGATGACCAATAGGAATGGTGCTAATTAATAATTAGGATGCGTAATAACTTTTTTTATAACAGTAATACAATTTTTTTTTTGATTTTTGGAACCCGGGAGACACTTAGGACGGTTTTAAATGGAAATATATAACTTCGTTATAGAGTGATAAAATATGAGAGAAACTATCCCGATTAATATTGAATACTCGTGGGGATTCCCCCAATTTGCAAGGAGCAACAAGATAAGTTATCTTTAAAAGATATGATAGATGTTTTTAATAGACTTAAAAAAAGTTACTAATCAACCAGCTGTGTAGCTCTAGCACTAGGAGATAAATATATATTAGATAAAACTTAATTTAATTTGATTGGCAGTTAGTTCATAGCGATCACGAGAATACTGTTATCAAATGTGTATGTGGTATATTTGTTAACTTGGAGTAACAACATGGAAACACAAAAGATATATAAAAAACAAGAGGTCATAGTTGAAATATTTCAAAGGTTGTCTGCAATGAGAGAGTAAGTGTTAATGAAAGAATTAGCCTGTAATTCAAATAAGTAAATAAAATTTTTTTATCACCGCTTTCAGTAGTAAATTATGCGACATAACTTTGGTAGTGGATGATGTCAAAATACATGCGCACAAAGTTGTGCTTGCTGCTTGTTCAGAATTTATGAAAACATTATTAACAGGGGACTTTAAAGAATATCAACAACCAACGATTAAATTATCAGAAATAAATGCCGAAGCAGCAAACCAAGTAGTTAACTATATGTATGGCTCATCCATCAAAATAACGATAGATAACGTTTTTGTAAGTATCATAGTTATTTACGTCAGTATCGTTACGTCAATGTAAAAAAAATATCAATTACTAAAAAACATAGTTGTTTCACGTTATATAATTTATCTTTATACTTTAAAGTATTTTAGATAGTCTAGTTTTAAGTGGTAATTTCTATTTGCTATCGCCAACGTGATTTCAGATGTTCTTAATGTTGGGAAATCTTATAAAATGAATCCAAACATAATTTATCTTGCTATTAAGCTATTCAACATAATTTTTCAAATTCGCAATTTCACATCAAATTAGGTTAACGTTTTATGCTCCTTTCTCAATGCGCACAATGCTTCGGCTATTCATTTCGTTTCTTAACATTGCTGGAGATATATTTCCAGCATATTCCCTTATAATATTCTCAAGATGGTAGATATGAAAAATTAAATGATTTGTGCAAATAGACATCGTATTACACGGTTAGTCCAATCCAACAGTTTACAAACAAATTATCCAAATAATTTCGCACATCTCGTATATTATATCTAGCTGACAATGAGTCTGGTCATCATGTTGAGGCGTCTCGGCTTTCATTATAAGAAGTGTACGATCATAGCTGATTAAGCTGAGGTCGCTTACGGCCGAGGCTCAGGGATTAATATTATATCAACCTGAAACTGGTCATCATATTGTCGCACATTGATACAAATGCACCAGTTGGAAAAATATTTACAATAGGTAATGATTATTGGAGATCCTACATTCTGTTGATGGTAATCTGTTGTTTGAAGATATTCGCTGAGTCAATTTATTGTTGTGGTTTCTCTAGTTGCCTAAACTGCTTATTTTTGGTTAATCTTTACATTATTATTATTGATGCAAATGATGCGCGGCACAAATGCATCGGAGAGAAAAATGTTTAGAATAGGTAATGATTCTTGAAGGAATGATAAATCACAATTATTTATAAAAACATTGGTTGCAGTATCGACATTAATATATAATACGCGAAATGTGGCTTGCAGTGAAGTAAGTAGATTATTAGGAGAAAACACCAATCTTACAAAAATAAGCCATTAGTTCTTGTTCGTACCTACATGATGTATTTTGTTTTGTATTGCAGTGTATATATTACTCGCAATATCCGAATTCGGATATTGTCCGAATTTTTTTACCTACAACGCGTTGTGGATAAGCTTAAATGATTACAACGCGTTCTGAGAAATTTCTTCGGTTATTGAGCAGCGGAAAATACTCACAACGCGTTGAGGGTAACTAGATTTACTCAAAAGCCGAAATAAACCAGTTTTGCGCATTGTGGACACCAAAAAGTATCTAGAACGCGTTGTGAGTATTAATCGTTTATTCAAAACTCGTTGTGGACACCAAAAAGTATCCACATCGTGGATACTCGTTGTGAGTATTTCAGGGTTGCCCACAACGTGTTGTGGCTATTCAATATTTAGCCACATTTGATTGTAGACATTTTCAGCCAATAAATATCCCAGACTAACAGTAATGAATATCTATATGTATAGTGTAGTCATATAAATTGTTTTTTTAAACTTATTATTGTTTAATTTAAAATTTTTAAATTTTTACAATTTTTTTAAACAATTACATTTTACAAAGCCTTGCTTTGATCCCGATTAAATCATTGCTTCTTGTCGAACTGTCACTTTCCTGTTGGAGACAGCAGTTACATTTACAAACTTATTAGGAGCTAGTTGAAATTTATTTCTTGAATATAACTTATTCAGCGTGCCGTTATTAGTCGCAACAGAAAATATATTTGGATGAACTTCCATCTCATTTGAACTATCAAGACCATTTAACGAAGTTTATAGTACTGCGTCCACTAAAACAAAGACTGCTGAAAAAGTAGCAGGTGTCATTTTGGATATATTTTGCTTACTTGGAGCTCCTAACATTCTTCACAGTGACAATGACTCGTAGATCGTGGACGACTAGCCACATCTGGAATGTCTATCAAAATATTGTCTCCGACGGAGATTGGTGGAAATTTCTTGTTCGAATTCTCGATCACTTCTTGCTTGTTCCTCTAACTCGCGTTTACAGTTTTTTCGAGAACAGCTTACCGCTTTTTAGTAGCACAAATGTGACATAAAGGTATATCGGATGCCGGTACAGAAGCACATCCTAAATGAAAAAGTTCAGCGCACTCAAAGCAAGATACTTTAGGTGGGTACTTTTTGGTGCCCACAACGTCCACTGCTGAATCTAGGATTTCCTCATTTTAGGCTCAGTTCTCTCTATCTTCCGCGCTCTGTGTCCAATTTGTCGTTATTCTTTTGATATCGTTAGTCTTTTCTTGTCCATTCTCGGTCTCCACTCAAGCAACTTCCATCCTTCGAACGGGGTACGTGCCTTGCCCAATTCTATTTACGTGCTACAACCCTGGTAATAAAATCCGTAACTACCGTCCTTTTCACATCCTCGTTAGTCATTCGGTCGCGAAACGAAACACCAAGCATTTCCATTGTTCTCTGAGCAATTTGAAGTACTGTAGAAGTTGTTGCAGTCAGGGTGAAAATTTCAACATCGGTCGTCATAACTTGTAATGCGTATAGGTCAAATGTTTTGCTTCTTAGACAGAATGACAAGTTACTTTTGAAAATATCTGATATTTTTATTAGGAACTAGGTTCGTCATGTATTTTGTTTTGGTTGTGTTGATTTTGGACTCCACATTGGCACATACTCGGGTGGAGGTCATGCAGCATTATGTCTACCACCTTATGATTGTCGAACAAAACTATATCGTCTGCGAACTTTAAATTTGTTAATATAATTTGCCTGTCTATGCCCGTTCATATGTACGCCTCTTTTTGCACAATGGAGTTTTTTACATTCATATTCCAATATTGCTGTAAAGAGTTTAGACGATACCGCATCATCTTGTACTGCTCTGCACACTTGGACAGGATTCGTGCTTTCCTATAGCGGACATGGTTCTATCCAAAATTGATTTCAAACTCCAATGTATCTAAAGCTTTATGGATATCCAGAAAAGCCATAACAAGAAGCCTATTATACTCGATGGTTCTTTCGATTATCATTTTAATACTCTGTAGGTTCATTCAAAATCCTCTACGAAATCCCGCTTGTTTTATCGCTCGGTAGAAGTCTAGTTTGTTTTCAAGTCTAGTCGTTAGTATTCTTGTGAAGAGTTTATATATGAGACTGAGAAGCCTTGTTCGTCTATAACTTTCTTATGACCTCAGCTTTTTGCCGTCTGTTTTGGTATTGTGTGCTCTCTACTCCTCATCTCTCTTCTTTTTTGTATCATTTGCTTACTTTCTTCAAGTTTCTCATCTTTCCGAGATTTGGAATAGAGTTTGTTTTGACCCTCTTCCATGTTTGGTTCATTTAGATGATCGCCAATCAAACTTTGGAAACATTTACTGAATACATCCATGGTCTGGCCTCGCTATTTCTTCTTATTAATCTATATCTCTCCCTCTTTAGACTTATTTGTATTGTTGATCCCTATTTGTGGGAACTTATTCAATACCGTGACCTCCTTAATGATGTGGCGCTTGTATAATCTATTTCGTTCTTTGTGTTGCCATCAGGGTTTTGCCATGTCCATTTTTTACCTAAACTCTTTTTAGAAAAACAATTCATCGCGAAAAGATCGTTTTTTAAAGAGAACCTTAGAAGTGTCTGGTCGCATTTGTTCCTGCCGTAGCCAAAATTTCCCACTAATGTTTCTGTGGGGTTAGATTTCATTCCCATCTTTGTGTTGAAATCGCCACACATAATGCTAAACAGTGAATATTTATCTGTCATTAAAAAAGTAACAGTTTGTTGTACTTATTGGGGTTATGAATTAAAAGCAACAATGGCTTTGAAGTAAACTTTATTATAAGTCAACAACTATGGTAACATATGAAAACTATGGAATTTAAGACTCCTCAAGGGACGGCCCTATAAATCGACGAACTCGATATCGAGTGGCTACTATAAGTGGTATTTCAAAGCTAAATGAAAGTAACCTAATATTTGAACATATTATTCTAACAGTACTCTTAAGTAATTTTCACGTTAATATGTAGTTAACTGTAGTAGGATTGTACTTTCATGAATTTATGTAGGAGTGAGTTGTATGCCGGAATCTTCACTACCATTGATCCATTAAAATCACCAGTATTAAAAATGGCCAGTATTAAAATTTAAATCTTACATTTTATAAAAATATAGAAGTTAAAATATTTCGGAAAGTTTAATAGCAAGACTGGTCATGTTTGGAGTCAGTTTAAAAAATTTTTTGTAAAGTCTAATAATATCAAATTAAAGAATAAATATGAATTTTGTATGAAAACGATTAATTAAATCGTGCGAATTATTGTTTAGCTTTAAAAATGATATTTTAAATAAATCTAATTACAGAACATACTTCGTATTTCACGGATGTGGTTCATAAATACTTTATTGGAAGAGTGTGAACAATTTTTGATGAAATCTCTTAACATTTCTAATGCATTGTTAATTTGGACCAATTTTCGTTTACTTGACCAAAACCAAATAAAAACGAGAGCTGAAGATCTATTGGGATGTCATTTTACGTAAGTTGAATATAATAAATGTGATCAATCCTTTGCTAGTTTTGAGCAAAATAAAATAAATAAATAAATAAAACCCATTACTTACAAATTTCTCACGATGAAGAATCTCGGATCCATCTCATGTAGGTGTTCCAATTTTATTTTTCTTACTTCGACCACACTTTTCCTCCTTTCAACGTCGGCTGTTCTACTACTTCCTTCCACTGGATTCATGTCTTACCCTGTCTTATTCTTCTTTTCGATTTCAGATAAACTGTTTAGACTTTCTTTGAGTTTCTCTTCTACTAGAGATCTCAGGTATTAAACATTCGATAAAGTTTGGCACGAAGGGCTAGAACCAAACCGTTTGAGTTGGTGTAGTGCGGTGCAGTGAAAATAGTTTGTAGTGCGAGAGAGCAATGCAAGGAAGTAGTGTTTTGATTTTCTGAAGGTAACTTAATATCTGACAACATGACACCTCTTTCTCTTTCACTTTTTCGTTCTTCTTATTATGTCCAGATCATCTACATATGCTAGGAGTTATATTTACACTCCTGTTCAAAAATTGTGCCAGACGTTGTTATGCCAAAGCTTCGTACAACATTCTCAAGTGCCAGGCTCAAAGTCTCTACACTTAAGACACTTAAGATCTCATCCAGTGCCGTAATATTTCGAATTCTAATAGGGCCCTGTATAATTTGAATGTGTGATGTAGGCATGTGGATATTGAACTCTATTACATTCTCGTGTATTTGCCGCAGTGTGAAAACGGCATCTGTTGTAAATTTGTTCTTCGTGAATCCTGCTTGCTATCCTTCTATCATGATTTATGTGTGTGGTAGTAATCGACTATATAGGATTAGTGAAAATACCTCCATTGGTTTATCCATGTGCGTAGCATACGACAAAATTTCAAGACTCTAGCGATTGTGAGTATCCAGTTCTTGGATTCATGACGATAGTGTGTCATTGCCAAACGTATGTTGTTTATGGAGGTTCCATTGATCTTAATTCCTCCCTCAGCATTCACTTCCTGGAATATCATTTCCGAGTAGATATTAAGAAAGAGAGGAGACAGAAGCACCCCTGTTTTACGCCTCTACACTGAGGGAAATATATTCTTGAACGAAGATTATTACTCTTGGCTCAAGCTTATCATATTCTTGTATATCCACAAGAAGATCATTTTGTTGAGTGAAGAAAAACCACATACTCTCAAAGCAAGTATACAAATATTTTTGATTCTCAAGAAAACGAATTCTTAGTGAAAGTAAATCAATAATCTTGAAAAAGAGTGTCTTAGTGTTCCGTCAACAACCCCATTTTCATATCGAGAATAGATTTCTTAAATCAAGAATAACGTATCTTTCTTTTTAGAAAGCTTATTCATGTAACAACAATCTTGTATAATTCTTCATTTGGGTATTATAAAGTATTGACGCAAGAATGAATTTTTTGATACAAAAAATTGATATTCTTCGATGCGATAAGAATATGAGATACTTCATTCGATAATATTTCTATTCTTAAAACAAAAAAATATTTTTGTTTTATGAGTATCTTATACTTGTTTCTAAGAAATACATTCAAGAATAAATTTTTGTTGAAAGTCAAGAATAATTTCCCTCAGTGTACGGATATCTATTTCATCAGATGTTGTTTCTATGTGAGATGCAGTCTAAAGTTTTCTGATAGTCAATACAGAATTATATTAATATTCACATCCCAACACCTTTGTGTGAGTAGATTGAAGGAACATAGAGCCTCGTGCGTACCTGGTCCTTTTTTTTGCATATATGCCAGTGACAAATGACAAATGTCGACTTCAGCCATCATGGTATTGTGGTATCTTACCAGCCTTGTGTAATGAGTCAAACAGATAGGTGAGGAGTTTTAAACCATATCCACATCGGCTATCAGTTTCAAGGTTTCAGCGTGTATCTGGCCCGGTCCTACAGCAGTGTTGGTTTTTTGGACCTGTATAGCGCGTCTGACCTCTTTCCAGCGTTGTAGCTTTTCTTCAACACCTACTAAGATTTTGTTATTTTCATCCCTAAAAACACCCCGATTTTGTTTGAGTTTTGTATTTCTGAGTTCCTTGATTTTCTTCTAGAGATTAAACAGTAGCTTGTTCTGTAGCGTCTCTATTTCATGGCATTTCTCCGTAGTTCTCACCATCCTATTCAGCTTCCTGTAATGGCTGTTGTCCCTGACCTTTTGTTTTGTTCTCTCTGTCATAACTAGGGCACGGAACTTTTGTAACAAAACGATACGATTTCCCCCCTCCTCTTATTGTGGCCACTCAGTGACGTCTCTAGAAAACAAGCCCAGAAAACTAGCCACTGAGAACAAGTGGATGGGGAAATCGTATCTTTTTGTTACAAAAGTTCCATGCCTTAGTCATAACCTAGACTAGAGGGTTTGGTCTGTCATCCACTCTTGTTTCTTAATGGTATGTGCACATCCAATCTCGATATCTTGCGTGTCAGTGAGAGGTTTCTTTATGACATCACATCTATATCATCGTCATTGTACTTGTCGGCTGTTCCTGAAACCCGTCTACAGATCTTGACATTTTTTGGGTTGGTTAGACCTGTATCTCTAGATTGGCGAACCTATTGAGCTCTACTGAAGTGGCGAAGGCGTAAATTTATCATGACTGGGTTGTGGTCGTTATTGATATGAGGGTGCGGTGTCGCTGCTTCTCCATACTTCATAGATGGCTTTTGATAAGGACGAATTGTATCATTTAGATTATGCTCTATGCAGAATTGCACCAGATGGTCTCCTTGCTCGTTGAGTGTTCTAGATCAATACTAATCGGCTATTTCCCCATGAAATTATCTTCTCTTATTGAAGCAATTGTCAAGTAGTGGTCGGAGTCTATATTGTCTCCCGCGTAACTCCTGCTGTTAACAATATCAGTTATATCTTTGTTTTATTCACGTTCAACTAGAGAAAGAGTTGTATTAACATCTTTAACATATTTAATTAAAGTGACATAATGAACTCCGACAAATTTATGGAACTAGAAATTGAAGAATTAATCGAGCTATTAAGCAAAGATTCATTATTAATTAAAGCAGAAAGTCAAGTATTTGAATGCGCAATTTCTTGGATAAAACACGATCAAGAAAGAAGAAAAGTTTATATTGCTGATATAATAGAATGTGTTCGAATGAGTTTGATACCAAGGACCTATTTGAATGATTGTCTGCTTCAAAATGAATTAATTAAGAACAATCATGAGTTGATTTATAAAATTTATTCGCAATTTGCGTCAGAAGCAAAGCCTCGGATGGCCAGAAATGTGTTGTTCGTTATGGGCAAATCACAAAATCAATGTATGTTTATTTTGGTTTTTTTTCTGTGTTAATTAATAATTTTATATTAAGGGTAGAGAGAAGTGTTGCTGGTTTCTTACACGGAAAGAAATAATTATAGATCAGATTCTTTCTTTGTTACGTTAGAGTAATATATTATTCTTTTAGGCTCTGTGGAATATTATAACTTTAATACTGATACCTGGCACAAAATGCCCACCATAACTGAATCACATAATCAAATTTCCTTCAGTTATATAAAAGACGTACTGTATGTGGTTTATAACAAATCCGCAGGAAGTGACCTTGTAATTGCAAAATACAACTTAATCAGAGGAATATTATTTGATCACAAAACGTTAACAAATCTTAAAACATCATTTGAAGAGGTGATCATTTTAAATAATTTTATTTATATATTTAGTACTAGAAATAGAAATGGTTATTCAGCAGTCCCAGAAAAGGTTGATTTAATAACTGGCACAATAACAAGTATTACCTCCATGAATATTGCAAGAAGAGACGTTGCTTTATGCGGTTTAGACAATTTTATATATGCGGTATGTCCTACTAAATAAAATAACGCATTTTATCGTTAACAATAGATTTTAGTTAACTTACATTATCAATTTTTTACTTTTATATACAGATTGGGGGAACGGATGGCAATCAAGCCTTGAAATATGCGGAACGTTACAATATACATACAAATGTATGGGAACGTCTCTCGGATATGAACTATCCAAGAAGACGTGCAGGTATATGATTATCTTACAGTACATAAATTGTTGTTTTAAAAGCTTTTTCTTTATTTACTAGTTGCTGCATCTGTTAAAGGACTATTATATGTATTCGGAGGTTTAAATAATGTTAGTGATGCGTTGAACACTATTTCAGTATACAATCCCGAAAATAAATTGTGGACCGATATACCTTCAGAAATTAGTTTTTGTTATACTGAACCATTATCAATAACATCTTATGAAAATATGATATACGTGTTTGGCAAAGATAATGCGCTAGGTGGTGGTACCAATCGCGTTGCAGTTTTTAATCCAGAAACGAAAACTTGGAACAAAGACTTAATTAAATCAAGTATCTCCTTAACTAAAACAATTTATGGGGCTGCATTTATGAAGAATTTTAAATAAAGTTGACTGCGAATTTTTATCGACAAATCGCAAAATTGTAAAAATTTGTAATTTTCAATAAAATAAAGATAAATTCTTGTTGTTTAACCTCAAAATAATTCATTTCTCAATTTTCAATACCTTCTTCCAAATAATTTTTTTTTAATTATAACGTTAAAATAATGACGATTTTGGATTAGGTTCACTTTTCGATTTGTATGGATAAAACTAAAAATCGTAAAAGCTTGAAATTTTCAATAAAATAAAGATTTTTGATTGTGTTGTTTAATCTCAAAAAAATTCATCTCTTCATATTCAGTACTTTATAACGTTCCTTCCCATTTTCATTTGGAAAGGCGTGTCTTGGTGCTCTTAAGGAGTAACAGGGTAAAAAGGAACACAGAAATTAATAAATAAAAAAAATTTTATTGAAAGAAACAATGTTAAAAAAAAAATGTTCAAAATTTATTTTCGTGTAAATTTTATTTTACCATTAAACACTTATATCTACAAGATACTTAAAACAAGCACGATTTTTATTAAGCGTATTTGAAGACTGCTTCATTATTCCTAATCAATGTATCTTTGAGAATGTTTGGATCTCCTGCTAAGAGGAGAGGCATACAACATTGTCGTATGACTCTTTTAAGTGTACGTAATGAGTAATAGGTAAGGAAGCGAATTAATTTGAGTTATGCAGCAAAACTGCGTTCAAACGTCTCTTAGAGAAATCAATAAACAACTTCTAATTCGCAGGGTCATATAACAGTCCACATTTTTGTACGAGGGCACTGACATAATTATTATAAACATAGCTACCACATTCAGAGAAAAACCTCTCGATGTCTATACCAAAAGAAGGTAGTTCCAGGAACAAGAAGATTTCTCTCTTTTAGTCGGCAGAACCGGTAGAAAATTAGAATCTTCATAATCAAGTGAATTCTTCAGATTCTCGAAGGTATCTAATGTCACAGCCGATATTGTCATCAGTTTTCTTCTCCAAATTTGGTGGAATTGGAGGAATATCGTCAGATTGAGGACTACTAAATATTATGAGAAATTTTAGAATTAAAACCGGCAGTTTTACTTAAAACAAATAGCAGTCATCGTGACTGAAATGTTCATGCCAAAACATTGGTGTTATGAAAGGCATTGTTGTACTCTTGGCATTATTCTAGCGTTTTAAGGTCTCAACACATGATTCACAAGCTACATGTGAAGCCCAAGATTTGTCTTGAATAGAAATAATTGTATCTTGAAGCAATTTTGTTAAATCATTTTGATATTCTTGGGAGCTCACAGTGAAGAAGAAATATCTCCAGAATGGCTGAAGAAAACTTGTGAAGAAAATTTTCTGCAAATGTAGACGTGAAAACGATTAATGAAAAACTGCTCATGGTCTGCAACCGAACTGGTTGCTAACAATAAGTAACAACAAAGTGCGCAATCGGCGGCGCTAGCGGCTGGTACTCATACTCATACCGCGTTCAGTGTTCAAATTCAAGCATCGAAGTAGCACCATTCAATAGAGCATTTTGACGGGCAAGGATATTACTGAAAAGTAGCCAAGAAAACCATATTATTATAACTATTTTATTATACCCAGAAAATTACTTCGGAAATGACGCTCAGCTCATTGACAGCAAAACCTTGCAAACATTTCATTTAAGTGTACAATAAAACAAAAAATATAGAAAACAAAATCGGCTTTTGTTTATTGCACTTAAACATGGAAAACCTCTTCAGCAGGTCTACGGTATGCTGGACCATCCTGCTACAGTGGTGTATTTGGTGGATGACCAACAGGAACAGAGCTAATTGATTAATTAGGAAGCGTAATAACTTTTATTATAAACGAAATAAAGCAATTTTATGATTTTTAGAAATCGGGGAAACTATTTAGGACGGATTTAAATGGTCGGTTGGGTTGAAATATGTAACTTCGTTATAGAGTTATAAAATATCCCAATTGATATTGTATACTCTCGGGGATTCTCCTAACTGGCAAGGAGCAACAAGATAAGTTATCTTTAAAAGATATAATAGATGTTTTTAATAGACTCAAAAAAAAGGTTGCTAATCAACCAGCTGTGCAGCTCTAGCACTATGAGATAAATATATTTTAGATAAAACTTAATTTAATTTGATTGGCAGTTAATTCATAGCGATCACGAGAATACTGTTATCACATTTGTATATTTGTTAACTTGGTGTTAACATGGAAACACAAAAGATATATCAACAACAAGAGGTCGTAGTTGAAATATTTCAGAGGTTGTCTGCAATGAGAGAGTAAGTGTTAATGAAAGAATTAGCCTGTAATTCAAATAAGTAAATAAAATTTGCTTATCACCGCTTTTAGTAGTAAATTATGCGACATAACTTTGGTTGTGGATGGTGTCAAAATACATGCGCACAAAGTTGTGCTTGCTGCTTGTTCAGAATTTATGAAAACATTATTAACAGGAGACTTTAAAGAATATCAACAACCAACGATCAAATTATCAGAAATAAATGCCGAAGCAGCGAACCACGTCGTTAACTATATGTATGGCTCATCCATCGAAATAACGATAGATAACGTTTTTGTAAGTATCATAGTTATTTACGTCAATGTATAAAAAAATAATCAATTACTAAAAAAAATATTTGTTTCACATTGTTGCAATTCATCATTGTACTTTAACTGGAGAATATAGGTAATATAGTTTTAATTGGTCATTTCGATTTGCGATCGTCAACGTGAATTCAGATATTCCTAACCTTATAAAATGAATCCAAACATAATTTATCTTGCTATTAAGCTATTTAACATAATTTTACTTATTAGCTTATAACATATCAAATTAGGTTAACGTTTTATGCGTCTCTCTCTATGCGTGCAATGCATCGGTTATTCATTTCGTTTCTAACATTACTGAAGATATGTTGGGACCATATTCCCTTATAGTATTGTCACGATGATTAATATCCCGAAATGGTTTGTGCTTATACACCTTACATATCACTAAAGAAAGAAGATGGTCGTCTAATTCAACAGTTTACAAACAAATTATCCAAATAATTTCGCACAAAGTTGAGTGAAAATATTTTAAATAAATATGAGCCTCGTATAATGTTGCCTCGGTACAAATGCACCAGTGAGAAATGTATTTACAATAGGTAATGATTATTGAAGGAATGATAAATTATAATTATTTATAAAAACATTACAATGTGACATACGGAATGTGATATGCAGTAAAGTAAGTAATTATTTCTTGTCCTTCTTCTTTACATGATGTATTCTGTTTTGTCTTGCAGTCTATACGATTTTATCACTTCTTAGTATGTTTCTCTTCGAGCAAATGCCTCATTTTTCTGGGCTTTTCTTCATCTGTTCTTATTTTTGCTACTCGTGGATAATGATCACTCTGTAAATCGTAAAACTTCTGAAAAACTCATCACATAACGTATATCATTATCACCCTCCAGCCCTTAGCATTGCTGAACCTAGGCTTCCCTCATTTTAGACTAGTTCTATCTTGCGCGCTCTGTATACAATTTGCCGTTATTTTTTTGATATCGTCAGTTTTCTCTTATCCATTCTCAGTCTCCACTCGAGCAGTCTCTTCGGCACGTGCCCAATTCCGTTTAAGTTCTGCAATTCTGGTAATCACATTAGTTACTCCTCCAGTCGTTCTTTTTAAATCCTTTTTAATCACTCGGTCGCGAAACGAAACAACAAGCATTGAACCCTCCACTTTTCTCTGTGCAATTTGAAATTCTTTAAAAGTTGTTGCGGTCAGGGTGGACGTTTCAGCATGGTACGTCATAACTGGTAATACGCATAGGTCAAATGTTGTAAGGAGTTTATCTAAGTGACTGAGCAGCCTTATTGGTCTATAGTGTTCTTGTTCGTGAGGGTCTCGTTTCTTGAAGATTTGTATAACCTTAGCTTTTTGCCATCTCTTTGGTATTTTGCTAATGTTTTCATTAATCTATTCGATTTTTCTATGGATGTTTGTTTATTTATATCTCGCATTTCATCCATTCTAGTGTGCTCTCTACTCCTTATTTCTCTTCTTTTTTGTATCATTTGCTTACCTTCTCCAAGTTTTTCATCTATCCGAGATTTGGGACAAAATTTCTTTTGGCCCTCTATCAAGGCAGATGTTATCATTCAAATCATTAATGTTATTTTCCATGTTCATTTAGATGGTCGGCAATAAAACTTTGGAAACATTTACCGGCTTCTTTCATGCTCTGCCCTAGTTATTTCTTCTTAGTAAGCTTTATCTTTCCCTCTTTAGATTTATTTGTATTTGTGGTCGCTAATGGTGGCGAATATATTCAATACCGTGACGTCCTTAACTATGTGGCTCTTGTCAATTATTATATCTATTTCATTCTTTGTGTTATCATCAGGGTTTTGTCATGTCTATCTTCTACCTAAATTCGTTTTGGAAAAACTATTCATCTGGAAAGGATCCTTTTTTAACAAGAACGTTAAAAGCATCCGGTCGCGTTCGTTCCTGCCGTCTTAGCCAAAATATCTTAGTGATGTTTTGTGGGGTTAGATAAGATTCCCATCTTGACATTGAAATCGCCACATATAAGAATAAAGTGTAAATGTTTGTCACTAAAAAATGTAATTTTTTTTGTGCATCATAATACTCTTAAGTCCTTTTCATGTTAATATGTGGTTGGGTTGGTGTAACCCAAAACCCTTGAATTAATCTCTCTCCTCAGCTTAATGGTACTCTTGTGAATTTATGTATGACTTTATGTTCAAATTTATTGAACACCTCTTATTATTTGTTTTCATTCTACGTCCATATTTACCTATCGCTGTTTTATATGCCGGAGCCCTTATTCCCTCCCTTCTATTAAAGTTTCCAGTATTAAAATCTAGCATTTTATAAAAATATCTAGGAAGTTGATTAGCAAGATAAATTATGTTTGGAATCAGTTTAAAGAATTTTTCATAAAGGCTAATTAAATCAAATTAAGAAATAAATATGAATTTTGTATTAAAGCGATTAATTAAATATTTTAAATTATCGTTTAGCTTTACAAAATATAATTTTAAATAAATCTGATTACAGAACATACTCCATATTTCACGGTTGTGGTTCGTAAATACTTTGTTGAAAGAGTGTGAACAATTTTTGATGAAAACCCTTAATATTTCTAATGCATTGTTAATTTGGACTAATTTTCGTTTAGTTGACAATATGCTAATAAAAAGAAGAGCTGAAAATATTGTGGGATATTATTTTACGTAAGTTGAATATAGCAAATCTGAACAACCTTTTGCTAGTTTTGAGCGTTAATAAAAACAATAATAATAAAAGCCGATTACTTCCAAACTTTTCATTCTCTTGACCCCGTTCTATCTCACGATGTTGAATCTCGGATACATCTCATGTAGGTGTTCCAATTTCTAGTCATTTTTCGTACTTCGGCCACAGCTTTCCTCCTTTTCAACGCCATCTCGTCTGTTACTTCTTCTCACTGGATTCATAGTCTACTCCACTCTTCGTCTTCTTTTTGGCTTCGTATTGAATACTTTCTTTGATTTTCTCCTCTATTAGAGCTCTCAAGTTTAGTTCTTCTCTGACGCTGTTGTTTCGTACTCTGTTTCTTCTGGTTTTTCGTACTATTTTTCGCAGACACTTCATCTGTGCTATTCCTATTTTTGATTTGTATATGTCTAACATTATTCAAGCTGATTAGGTGAGTGTGGGTGTATTGATGGTTTTGTATAAGTGTAATTAGGCTTTATTGCTTAGCTCTTTCTTACTTACTTTTGTTCGTGTTTATTATCATTCCCTTCTCTTGTAGGCAGGTTTTACAATTTGTATGTTTCTTTGTAAGACATTTACTCTGCCTGACATTAATTAGGACAATATCGTCAGCTAGCTACATACTAGCTCGAAATCTGCTTTTAGGTCCAGGAAAGCTAGGTACTTACTTTTGTCTTTATCTTTTTATCCTTAATTATGGCTCTGAGGGTGTATATGTGATCCTGTGTTTGTCTGTTAGGCTGGAACGCTAATTACTGTTCTTCAAGTCTGCCCACTATCTTCGGCCTTCATCTTCTTCCTCTTTATTTAAAGCTGTCTTGCAGTTCTCGGATTGGTATGTTGTTTATGGAGGTTCTAATGATCTTAGTTCCTCCCTGACTATTCACTAGTACTTCCTGGAATCTCACTGAAATAGATATTAAGAAGGAGATATTTGTATTAAGACGTTTTCTACCCTAACTTTTGCAGTTTGACTCCACTACAATTGTGAGGTGACAGCGCATCTTCCAGCGTTTATGAGACCGATCTACAGTCTCATAAACGCTGGAAGATTTGATAATTTCTGCAATTTCCTATGTGAGATGCAGTCGACAATTTTCTGATAGTCCTTTGCGTGAGTACATTGAGGGAGAATAGAGACTCGCGCGTACCTGCTCCGTTTCTGATCCCCAATTGCGTGTCGTGAACTTGTCCCTCGCATTTTGCATATATGTATACGAGTGTGAATGATATACATCTGGCCCGATCTGACAACTTCGATGTTTTTTTGGACCTTTATAGTACATCTGACCTCTTCCTTTCTGACGGCAACGCTCATTACTACTCGTTCGAGTGTTGTAGCTTTTCTTCAACGCCTACTAAGATTTTATTATTTCCATCCCTCAAAACACCCTGATGTTGTTTGTGTTTGTCAGTCTCTTGATTTTCTTATGAAGAGTAAACAGGTCGTGCTTGTTTTGCAGCGTCTCCATCTCATTGCAATTCTCCATCGGCCATCGCTTGTCCACTTTTCGGCATTCTGCTCGCAGCATCTTATTCATTATTCTCTCTGCCATAACCTGGAGGATTTGGTCAGTTATCAACTGGTATTGCGTGTCAGTGAGACTCTTTATTATGACATCCCATCTATGTTCTACTTCTGTATCATCCTGATTGTAGTTGGCGGTTGTTTGTAGACAGGTCTCGAGATTTTCGGTAAATTGATCACGATGGGTTGTGGTCGTTATTGATATCAGCGCAGGGTGTATTGTAGCTACTTTACATACTTCATAAATAACTTTTGATAAGGATGAAATCTGTGTCACAAAGTGCTTGTGTCAGATAGATTATCATCTGTGCACAATTTCACTATCCGGCAACTTTTTCCTCCACACTATGGAGGGGAGTCTATGGTCGGAGTCTATATTGTCTTCCCAGTATCTCCTGATGTTAATAATGTCAGTTGCGTAATTTTATTTTTGTTTTATTCACGTTCAACTAGAGAAAGAGTTTTATATCACCATGTACTAACATCCTTAACATATATAATTAAAGTCATATAATGAACTCCGGAAAATTTATGGAATTAAAAATTGAAGAATTAATCGAACTTCTAAGCAAAGATTCATTATTAATTAAAGCGGAGAGACAAATATTTGAATGCGTAATTTCTTGGATAAAACACGATCAAGAAAGAAGAAAAGTTTATCTTGCTGATATAATAGGATCAGGATGTATTCGGATGAGTTTGTTATCCAGGACCTATTTAAATAATTGTTTGCTTCGAAATGAATTAATTAAGAACAATTATGAGCTTATTAATAAAGTTCAATCCCAATTTACATTAGAAGCAAAGCCTCGGAAAGTCAAGCATAATAAAGTATTGTTGGTTATGGGCGAATCACCACAAAATTCCTGTATGTTTATTTTGTTTTTGTTCTGTGTTAATCAATAATTAGGGTAAACGCACCAGTGTTTGACCTGTTAAGGATTTTTTAATGTCAGTGTTTGACCGAGCCATATTATTTTTCTTGTAGATCCCTCTGCCTTTACATAAAATGATCAAAATATGATCAAATACACATCTGTCAAATACTAAACAACTTAAACGGGAAGATATAAGTTTTAAAAACAGGTATTACACATTTTTTTTTTTCGAACAACCAATTCGTCTAGTATTTGACCGATTGGTCAAACACTAATTTTTAATTAAATTTAGAACTACCAGTCATTGACCGGCTTTATTTCAACAAACAATTAATTAAGGCGGTATTTTTTTTAATATAACCAATAGAAAACATTATTAGATCACTTTGGGCGAATTTCTAAACATAAAAATTACGCTTTTTAGCACGATGCGAATAGGCCGGCAGTTAGCGCGAAATTAAACAACAAAAACTCAAGAACGGTATGGTCGTGGACTTTTTGTGTACTAGGGAGTGGAGAGGAGACTGGTGGCTATTTATGGATATATTTATATTCTTTTAGATATTCCTTGGATCCTTATTTTCTACATTTTTTTACAAAAACGGTCAAACACTGACCAACGGTCAATTACTGGCGTTTTACCCTATATATTAAGGGTAGAGAGATGTTTTGCTTTTTTTTTACTCGGAAATAAATAGTTATTGATCAGATTTCTTCTTCTTTGTTACGTAAGAGTAATATATTATTCTTTTAGGCTCTGTGGAATATTATAACATTAATACAGAAACCTGGCACAAATTGCCCACCATAATTGAATCTTTTCATGCAATTTCCTTCAGTTATATAAAAGACGTACTGTATGTCGTTTATAGAAGATGCCTAAGAAATAACCCTGAAATTGCAAAATGCGACTTAACCAGGGGAATATTATTTGGGCGCAAAACGTTAACAAATCTTAAAACATCATTTGAAGAGGTGATCATTTTGAATCATTTTATTTATTCATTTAGTACAACAATTACTTTTGGTTTTTCATCAGCAGTCGCAGAAAAGGTTGATTTAATAACTGGCACAACAACAACAATTATGCCAATGAATGTTAGAAGAAGAGACGTTGCTTTATGCGTTTTAGACAATTTTATATACGCGGTATGTCCTACCGAATAAAATAACGCATTTTATGATTACTAGCAGATTTTAGTTAACTTACATCATAATTTTTTTACTTTTATATACAGATTGGAGGAACGGATGGGGTTGAAGCCTTGAAATGTGTGGAACGTTACAATATAGAAAAAAATTTATGGGAACGCCTCTCGGATATGAACTACCCAAGAAAACGTGCTGGTACATGATTATCGTACATTACAGAAATTGTTGTTTTAAAAGCTTTTTTTTTTATTTATTAGTTGCTGCATCTGTTAAAGGACTATTATATGTGATCGGAGGTTTGGATAAATATAATAGTGTGTTAAACACTATTTCAGTATACGATCCCAATAATAAATTGTGGACCGATATACCTTCAGAAATTAATTTTTGTTGTACCGAACCATTATCGATAACATCTTATAAAAATATGATATACGTATTTGGCAAAGTTGATTCGTATCATCACCTAGATACGAATCGCGTTGTAGTTTTTAATCCAGAAACAAAAACTTGGAATGAAGATTTAATTAAATCAAGTAGCTGCTTGACTAAAACAATTTATGGGGCTGCATTAATGGATGTTTTGGAAACTATGAGAGATATTCCAGTTTAAGAGCGAACAATATATGAATATTAATATTTAGAATATTAGATTTTTTTTGAATTATAATGTTAAGATTAGGTTTAGTTTGTAAATTTTCGACAAAACGAAACATATTAAAAACTTGAAATTTTCAATTAAATAAAGTTATGTGATCTCAAAAAAAATTATCTATTAATTTTCTATTAATTCTCTTGGTTATGAAAAAATAATTATCTGTTCCACATTTTGATTATATATCGCTAGTTTGCATCTTCTTGGTTCTCTAGGCACTGTAAGGAATTGTGTTTTTTTTAGTTCAAATGGTCATGCTGTATGTTTTTGCGGTTGTTTCGAATCTTTGTGATCACTTCTGTAAATTGTGTTCGTCTTCGGATATTAAGACGGCACGCAATATTTCAAGCTGTCACCCCGCTTATACCCAAGAGTACTGATATTTTGTTCGTCAGACTGTGTCAGCCGTTTTTATGTGTGTTGTATTGTTGCTGTTCAATTCTATCATAATTACTAGAATGTCAGTCTACGTTTCTCTTCTTCAGTAGTACTGGTTCATTAGTTAGTATTTTGTCGGAAACCCTGTTGTTCTTCGCCAATTATTGTGTCCGAGGTGTTGCATTTTTCTATGATATCTTCGTTTCTCTTACGATCCATTAGAGTATATCCGTACGTGGCCTTTCCATGTCGATTGAAAAGGAGGATACATAAGGATGGGCTTTAATACCTTGTATATTCTGGACATGCTGGCAATTGATAGATGTTTATTCCTCCATATTGGGTTACCAAGTACAGGGTGTCCCAATTTCGATGTCCGCATAGGCTATCTCCGAAACTAAAAGAGATAGAAAAAAAGTAGCTTACATGTCATCATCTCGTTTTTCGAGAAAATGCTAATTCCGAAAACTCCGAACAGCTATCGTCTTTTGTTTTCACCCTATCGGCAAAAACTGAAAATTTTGCAAAAACGACAATCGCGAATATCTCACTTATTATCAAAGATGGAGTATTATAAATAAAACATTATATGAGCAACTTTTTACGAAGAATTCAGTGGCGTAGGTAGAATTTTTTTCTCATCTTTTATTTTCGAGATTTTAGACATAACTTTATTTTTTTAAATGGAAACCATAGTTGGCTATGAGTTAAAATAATTTGTTATTTTCTTCTGATAACAAATATATATAGTTTGTGGGATATATTTCTTATAGTTATTGAATAATTAACAAAAATTCATTTTGTTCCATCTAAATCTAATGTATGTATTTAAAAGTTAATGTTGCTATGGTGATAACCATACATACTATGATGGAATATAATGTATCAATTTTTTTTGTTCTTTCTAAAACTATTGTGTGTATTTAAAAGTTAATGTTGTTATGGTGATAACCATACCATGAGAGAAAGCATTGTTTCCAATTATTGCCAAAGTTTGTAGCAAGGACAGTAGAATCTAACAGGACTGCTACATCCAGTGTATTTTTGTAGTCGACTACGGGTTGGTTGCCCGCACTCTACGTCACACTATTTGCCACGCCTGGTAACTGTCTATGTTTTTAGAGGTTATATGAAGGACATTAATACGTCTAAAAACATAAAACTTCAAAACTAATATGAATACGTCTAGGATATAACCTCTCACAGCAAACGCATAGACCAGGGGTGGGCAAAGTTTAATGTTCAATGATCGACGTAAATGTTAGCTGGTTAATGGCGATGGACATTTTCAGAAATAGGTAGTAATTAAATTATTTATTCATATCAATATACAGGGTAATTCACATAAGAACCGACACAGAACAGGGACATGTAGAGGACAATAAATTAAGACGATTTAACACAACTTATCTCTATACTAAGTTGTACTCCTGAGGAGTTATAAGCCTTCAAAGTTGGGTCTTAAATTTTTAAAACATTGAATATCTTCGTAATACATTAAGTTAGAAAAACCAAATTTGGTATACGTTATGAGTGTACCGAGGGTATTAATTGGTAGCAAGTTGAGACCAATGGCACCAATGAAGACCAGGCATTTGAAAGGGTTGATTACGGGTGATGGTCCCCTAAACTTTGACAGATTTTTTTAACCTTTTGGTGGATTTAACAGATTATTACCTGATTTCATGTGGAATTTAATTCTAAAACTTTTTCTACTCTTATTATTTTTTAAAAAACATTGTCGTTTTCATAAAAAACTCAAATAACTAAAGACACGAATTTCGTTAATGCTACTTAAAATCATCGAAAATTCAGTAGTCGGCTGTGAAATTGTACGTCAAACTTGACAAATAGGATATAAAACCTTGTCGTCAAATAACTTTATAACCTATTTGTCAAGTTTGACGTACAATTTCATAGCCGACTACTGAATTTTCGCTTATTTTAACCTTCCAGCGGGCGTGCTCGATTTTGTAACACGAGCGGGCGCGCTGTGTATAAAATTTATAACACAGGTCCGTATCAATTTTCGAGCGAGCGCGCTCGATTTTATAACATATGCGCCCGCTTATGTTATAAAATCATACATTTTATGACAACGGGTTCGCATTAATAAGTATACGGTTATTAAAAAACATACATTTTATTTGTTAAAAATGCTGAAGGGATTTCTCGTTTATTCTTTTTTATTCAGTGTTAATTTCTTCTGTAGTAAATAATCTGCTAGAGCTACGCTGGTATAGTAGTTGACAGTAGTAATTTCATTTCTGTTTGAATTTTCTATTGGTTTTACCAATCGCTTTACAATATCCATCGGTTTGTTAGATACCATATACAGACCATCTCGTTGCTTGCCGCAATAAATTTCTATGTTGTATGTATAAAAAGTTTTCGCGTAGCAAAGTGCATATATATTTATCCCATATTTAGCGGGTTTGTTTGGCATAGACTGTATCCATGCACATCTACCTCGGAAAGGATGCAACATTTCGCCTATTGTGACAAACTTGAAACACGCTGTTTTCTAGAAATTTCTCGGAAAAACACCGAATTGCTGCTAATTTGTCAGTTTTATACCTATCCACTTTTGTAACTTTATCATCAAAGCGGAGAGATCGAGTTAAAAACAAAAATCGTTTGTAGCTCATCACTGCTCTAACAATTTGAATGCCTATTCCATCACTGCTCCAAATTTCTTTTACATTGGCAAAACGTGACTTTTTAATACCTATTAAGAAAAGTATTCCCAAATAAGCCAATAATTCGTTTATGTTGGTATCTTTGATATCTCTGCTTCGTGTGTAATCACGATTTGATCTCAGAGATTCTATATAAGTATTTCTATGTGCCACAATATTTTCAAGCATTATACTATCGATAATTTTTTGAAATAGTTCTAATTCACTAAGATTTTTTACATCACAAGTAGGACCTGAAACATCTTTTATTATGTTAATTTTTTTTTTTTTGACATTGTCTTTTCCAACATAAAAATCTTCTATACATGTCTCAATACTGTCTTCATACTCTTCAGAAGAATTATCCACTTCAGATGCGCTGTCAAAATTATTTACTTCAATTTCTTCATCACTCAAATCACTTCCGCCTTCACTATCTTCTTCTTCTTTTTTCGGTTTACCAAATAGTTCTTGAATGTTGTTTTCAATGTCACTTTTAGATAATATTTCTTGTACTGCCATCATTTATATAATAGATAAAATTTTAACACTTGTTATATTTTAACACATTCAATATTTTTTTCAACACAATTTTTTGCATAAAAAGACTTCTTTTCGCTCCAACAACACTTTACACAATGACTATAACGTGGATCTCTAAACTTATATATTGACAACCGTATTCTAAATATACCCCGAAATCTTCCGAGGATTACCTACTCATAAAAACTAATCGTAAATAACTCCTAAAAAATAAATACAGCCTGTGCAAACAAACCCTCATGGCGTTTTAAAATATAGTTTCCGATCCCAACAGACCTTTTATTTACACGCAAAAAACCTTTGAATATATTGAATATTTATACAAACTAGCGAAAAAATTGAAAAGATTGAAATATTGAAAAGATGAAGAAAAAAATGCCGATTCCGACAAAATTTTCATTACGGACCTGTATTTTTCTAAAATCAGCAAACAACCCGAAAACCTTCACATATGACTCGAAACGTGTTTATAATACATTTACACTATAAATTCATCCCATAATATCAATACGGCCTTATCAATCAGCAATTAATGTGTAAATTTTTTATCTTTTACACCTTTTTATGCCATAAAAACGACGCCAATAGTTTTTTTTTTTTATTTTCTCATCGTAATGTTCAAAATACATGGTTACACGAATACATTAGCGTTAAATCGTTTCAAATGCATTATATAAGGAAATATATTAAAAAAACGAAGATTGTGATAAATTTTATAACAGCGCGCCCGCTCGAAGGTTAAAACGATATACTGAAAGAAAAAAAATACTTACCAAATTGATGTTGGCTTGGATGTTAATATCTGGAAGTGAAACTGTGGCAGCTGCATTAAGACAAGCGGAAATCTTATTTTGACAGGTTTGAGTAGCTGGTTGGGTTGCCCATGATGTGGCAATTAATCCAAGAAGTACCAAAAGATATTTCATTTTTAAAACAAGTTTCGAATTGGCTTTGAACTAAGTCGAAGTGATGCAGTTTGTGCCGTATCG